CACACACACACACACACACACACACACACACACACACACACACACACTAGGAGAGACCACCGGATCCCACACCTGTCCATAACCCTCCAGATCCCAGACCCCCACCAGGACCCGGGATCTCCCAGGACTCCCTCCCCTAGGAGGTGAACCCCCCCCCCCCCCCCCCCACCCCAACCAGGCCTCACTGCACGCTGCACCCTTTCACTCCTGGCCACCTGGACTGGCTTCCCATGCGAATCTAAGAAGCCAGGCACACACAGCTGCTTCCTGCCACCCCCAGCCAGGTTCGGAAGGTTTCTTTTGGCCTTTGCAACCTTCTGTGCTGCAGATCAGGAAACTGAGGCCAAGAAGCCTTCCCAGGATGCCCTGTGGGACCAGAGTACATGGGCCTGCCCTGCTCGGCCAGGTGCACCCAGCACAGACCATCGGGGAGAGTCACCGTACCTGTCACCTGTGCCCTGTTCCCCACAGCAGCCCCTGCCGTGGGGGGTGGGCAGTTTGTGGCTCACAGCGTGAAAACGACGAGGGTGTGGAACCCGGGGTTCACCAGTGAGCCGCGGGATTTCTCAGCGTTTGTGCAAAAGCAGCCAGGACAGGCATGTGGTCCCCTCCTCTCCTCTTGTCCAGTCTCCCCTAAGTGCCGTATCGTGAGGTTTCTGCAGCCGTGAGCTGGGGAAGGGGGTCCTGATAGCTGAGACCTTGCCCCAGATGCTTCCTGCAGTGCTTTTAGGGGACCACCCCCCCCCCCAAGTCACCTTCCTGATCTGGAAGACACAGATGCTGCTTCAGTCTGGTTTTTATCACACTTGCAATAAATCACCCCAAATGCAACTGCTCGAAACGAGACACTGGTTCCACTCAAGGTCTCCCGGGGTCCAAACTGGGGCGTCCACCCACTGGCTCCCTGCGGGCATCCCCCGGACAAGGATGAGCACGAGCGCTCGGGGGCCGTCGGTAGGGGGCAACCCTGGGCTCCTGGAGGCCCCTCTCTGGCCCCGGCGGGTGTCCCCCAGACCCCTCTTCTTGCAATGCGTGCCCCTTGCCCTCTGCCGTATCTCTGTGCCTCCAGCTGGACAAGGTTGTCTGCTTTTGAGGGCTCGCGGGATTAGAACGGTCTGAGCAGGTTAATCTAGGATTACCTGCCTATTTTCAGGTGCATAGCTAAGTGACGTCTGCAGAGTCCCCTGTGCCATGTGACGATGCACGCTCACGGCTGCCGCGGGGACGCGGGCCCGGCCACTGCCTGGCCTGCTACAGCGTGGTCTAGAGATTCCTGTCCGTTCGAGGAGCCGCGGGCCCCACCGCTTGGAGGTGGGTTGATCTGGGCCCGAAGAGGAAGGCACAACCCCAAGGCTGAAACCCTCTGTGGGAAGACGGTGAGGCAGAAAGGGGCTCCCGTGTGGTTGTCCGTGGCCACGCCCTCCCGCAGGTGCCCCGTGCGCAGTGCGAGGACCTCATGATAACCCTAAGGGCTCCGGACTGTCTTTACAGTTTTCCTTGTTTTAAAGTCGGGGGTGGGGAGGGGGGCCCCTGGGTGGCTCAGTCGGCTAAGCGACTGACTCTCGATCTCGGCTCAGGTCATGCTCTCACGGTTCTTGAGATCGAGTCTGGCCTCAGGCTCCGCACGGGGTGCGGAGACTGCTTGGGATTCTCTCTCTCCCTCCCTTGCTGTCTGCCCCTCCCCTGCTGATGCTCAATCTCTCTCTCTCTCTCTGCCAAAATGAATAAGCAAACTTAAAAAATAAAGAAATAAAAAATAAAGTGGGGGGGGGCAGAATGCAATAATGGTGGATATAAACGGTGCCTGCAGTCTGCTTGGTAGGCACGTGGGTTTGCATGTGAGGACACAGCCTCCAGGCATTTTAGGAACAGGAGCACGGTCCCCATGGGAGGGTGTGGTAGTCTTGTTGCAATAATCCCACAAGCTGGCGGGGACCTCGAGCCTAGTGGTCAGGCGACAAGCAAGGTCTGAGCCTGGCCCCTGGGATCAGAAGGGGCGTGCGGTGAGGGGAGAGCAGAGTGGAGCGGGGAATTAATAGGTTGCTCAAGGGTCTCGAGTTCTGTATGGAAGCACAGGGTATGGGGCCCGAATATTGGCCCTCACAGCATCATGTGGCTGGGAGTGTGGCGGCCAAGGGACGTGGTGGAGGGGAGGGGGCGTTCCCGTGTTTCACTGACCGGCAAGGCCACGAACGCCGAGCCCAGCTGAGCAAGCACACGGATGTTTCCCCTACGTGTCTGGAGAGACTGTTTTAAAGCGTGTGTCCTAGAGGTGGGATCCAGAGTGGCCAGAAAAGACACACACACACAAAATCTGAGACACCTGTTAAAAATGCAGATTCTGGAAAATGCTCACAGGGCAAGTGAGTCACGACAGGCTGGTAAATCCTGAAAGAAATCGGACAGAAAACTGGGGTGGACTCCAAGGTGTGGTTTTGGGGAAATGTGTTCATCCGTACAGGGGAGTATGTCTCAGCCGGGAAAAGGATCCGAGCGTGGAGGGGTGCTGTTACATGGACGGACCTCGAACACATGATGCTCGGGGCGCCTGGGTGGCTCAGTCGGTGAAGCCTCAGACTCTTGGTATCGGCTGAGGTCATGATCTCGCGGTTCATGACTTTGAGCCCCAAATCGGGCTCTGTACTGACAGCTTGGAGCCTGGATCCTGCTTCGGATTCTGTGTCTCCCTCCCTTTCTGCTCCTCCCCTGCTCACGCTCTGTCTCTCTCTCTCAAAAATAAGCATTTAAAAAATTTTTTGAAAAAATTCCAGACAGTGAATATGGCAGAACTTTTGTGTTTTGCTCTCAGAACATTGCAGAACTTTTGTATTTTGTGTTTTGGTTTATGGTTTCTTTGGTTGTTTGGTTTTTCAGTTTTGGTGCAGTTTGTTTGGCTGTTTGGGTTTTTTTGTTTGTTTGTTTGTTTTGTTTAGTTCTGTTCTGCCTTTCGTGGTCCCTAAATGTGCAAACAGGTGCAAGACGCCAGGTGTCTCCCTGGGTGCACACAGAATAAGGGGTAAATCTGAAGTGCCCCTGGGGGAAAAGCAAGACCAGGTGTTTGTTGTTGAGGTCTGTTTCCAAGTCTGCAATCCGATGTTATTCCGTGTCTTTGTGATGAGCAGAAGGAGAAAGCAGGCAGGTGCAGCTGAATCAAGTCTGGCCGTAGGTCTTTCTCCAAAGCGGGCTGTCCTCCCGAGCCTCGAGGCAGCCTCGGGTGGCCACAGAACCCCTCTGCGAACATCTCACGTGTGCGTTGCTTCCCAGAGCACTTGGAAGGGCCCCCCGAGCACTTTACAATGGCCCCCGAGGACTCACCTTATTTTGCAACGTGCGGGATTGTATGCAATCCTGTTTATTTTGAGTGTAGACCCTTGGAGGATTTGAGAAAACACGGTCAGAGAAGTCAGAAAATGGGAAAACCTTTTTGGGCATTAGGACCTCATGTGCTCAGTGTACGCGATCTGGAAAAGTTCTGAACTCCTCGGACATTGTTCCTGCTAGGACTCTAAAAATGAAGGGAAGCTAGTCATTCCTGCACCTGAAGTCTTCAACGTCATTCCTCAAATTCCTTTGCTTTAAACCTTTTGTCCCAATCACGACCCCACCCCCCACCACCCCTTCTTCTCAAGGGTCTGTTTTTGACCCTGGCTAGAAAATACTATTAATGTTCTGTTTTTCTCTTTATTTCTATTCTGGGGAAGCAAATTCTTTTCCAAGTGAGGAAATGCCTGACTCTATTTCCCTGGGAATCTGTGTAGTTGGATGTCAACGTTGATGGCCCCGGAAATTCTGTAATTATATCCCCTCCATGTTTATGGTTATGATTGAAGTTGTGACTACTTTTTCCATTAAGACTGTTTTTTTTTTGTTTTTTGTTTTTTGTTTTTTTTTGTATGTTGGGTTTGCTCTAATTTTCCCAGGAGCATTTATTCCACGTGGACTCTTGGTCCCTGATTTTACTTTGTGTCCTGTATAAGTGCTCCCAATCATGTGGCCCCTGGCCATTCATTCTGAGAGAATAACAGGACTCATGGTGGGCATATCCCGCCGGGATTTGTTGGGGCCATGGTTGAGGGCTTCGAGCACGAATATTAACGTTGGGATTTTTCTACGAGGCCAGCGGTCCTTGGGACCAAATTGTCTTGGAGCAGAACAAAGACACCCAAAGAAATGCATCGTACGCACCAGCCCCCACCTTTTGTCTGCTTTTCATTGTCCACGTGGTGGGTCCACATCCACGTGAGACCCAAGGTGACTTGCTGCTATTTTGTGATGGAAGCCCCTGCTTGCTCAGGAGGAAACCAGAGACTGGTAACAGTGGCGGGAGCTTCAGAGGACAAGATCAATCCCACCTGTGCCCAGGAGAAGGCACAGACCCATCCAAGATGGCCAAATCTGGAAAATTCCCCACAACCTTTGGTTGAGTCTTCTATCTACAAGATGGCACTCACAATCCCATGCCCAGATAACACAGGTTTTAAGTACACGCGCCTTCCTCCTACAGCTTTGATTTATTTGTTATTATTTTTTTTAAGTGTTGGTATCATTTCTATGGCGAAAACCAAGATTTCTGGAATTGGATTGGCCAAGATGGAATTTAGCATCCGTGCCTTACTGCCGGTGCCTTCCACTAGGTTTCTGATGTTTTTGCAACACGGTTTCCCCTTTTTGTTATCACTCAGTGGCTGATATTTTCAACATCTTGTTTACAACCGGTGAGCGTCTAGCGTTAGGTACTTTTTTGATGGCAAAGAAGGACTTTGGCATGGTCGTATTTACTCACACTCCTCGATTCTCCAGAGAACTTTGCGTTCAATTAAAAGTGAGGACTTCAGAAAAAAAGGGGGGAAGGCCGTCTGGGTGGCTCAGTCAGTTAAGCCTCCGACTTCGGCTCAGGTCATGATCTCACGGTTCGTGGGTTCAAGCCCCACGTCAGGCTCCATGCTGACAGCTAGGAGCCTAGAACCTGCTTCAGATTCTGTGTCTGCCGCCCCCCCCGCTCCTCCTCTGCTCACACTCTGTCTTCTCTCTCTCAAAAATAAACATTAAAAAATTTTTGAAAATAAAGTGAGGACTTCAGGACCATGTATGATGCACACCTGACTTTCAGAAAACTGTGTTTCAGTCAGAAATGAAATGACATAAAAATCTAAATGGTGTTCCTGGGGCGCCTGGGTGGCGCAGTCGGTTAAGCGTCCGACTTCAGCTCAGGTCACAATCTCGTGGTCCGTGAGTTCGAGCCCCGCGTCGGGGCTCTGGGCTGATGGCTCAGAGCCTGGAGCCTGCTTCCGATTCTGTGTCTCCCTCTCTCTCTGCCCCTCCCCCGTTCATGCTCTGTCTCTCTTTGTCTCAAAAATAAATAAAACGTTAAAAAAATAAATAAATAAATGGTGTTCCTTTCACCTCCCCCACCTCTGTTCATTATGTAATAAAGCACATTTTATTTGTGAGAGTCCTTTCTTTGGGGTAAAACGTACATTCGGTAAAAGGCACCCATCTTGGGCGTACCATTCAATGAATTTGGACAAATGCTCATGATCATTGGATGCCCAGACATCAAGATGTAGAAAACTGCCATCACTCGGAAAAGTGAGTGGCACGGCCTCCCCAGTCAGCCCTCCGCCAAGAACCAATCCTTTTTTTTTTTTATGTTTCTTGCAAGCAAAGTTAGTTTTGTCTGTTCTATGACTTCACATACATGCAATCACATCATAAATACTCTTGTTAAAATCTTCTGTCAGAAAATGCGATGCATCGATGTTGGTCCACGTATCTGTGGTTGGTTCCTTTTTACTGCTGAGTATGATTCCATTGCATGAATACACTATAGTCTGTTTATCCACTCACCTCTTGGTGGGGGCTTGCGTTGTTCATGGTTTCTAGCTATTCGGGGACATTATTTCTTCAAAAACTTTTCTGCCTCATCTCTCTCCTCATTATATATATATCTTTCTCCTCATCTCTCTCCTCATTATGTATGGATATATAATCCATACATCATATATTACATATGTATATATGTATATTTATATGCATATATACATACATATGATATTATAATATCATATAATTATATATAACATATAATATTATTACATATGTAATTATATGTTATTTTACATATGTAAATGTATAAGCGTAATTTCATGTAGATGCAGAATAAGATAATATGTAATAAGGTACAATATATAAATACACACATGATAATACATAATATGTAAGACAATTATATACAATACAATAATAAATAAAAATATATATATTATAATACATTATAATTATGTATAACAATAACATATTTATAATTTGTGATATATTATTATAGTATTATAATATATACTAGAATTTTTTAATATGAAATTTATTGTCAAATTTGTTTCCATACAACACCCAGTTGTATGCTCATCCTAACAGGTGCCCTCCTCAATGCCCACCCCCCACCCTTCCCTCCCTCCCACTCCCCATCAACCCTCAGTTTGTTCTCAGTTGTTTTTTTTTAATTTTTTTTAACATGTATTTATTTTTGAGACAGAGAGAGACAGAGCATGAACAGGGCAGGGGCAGAGAGAGAGGGAGACACAGAATCTGAAACAGGCTCCAGGCTCCGAGCTGTCAGCACAGAGCCCGACGCGGGGCTCGAACTCACGGACTGTGAGATCATGACCTGAGCCGGAGTCAGACGCTTAACCGACCAAGCCACCCAGGCGCCCCTGTTCTCAGTTTTCAAGGGTCTTTTATGGTTTGGTTCTCTCCCTCTCTAACCTTTTTTTTTTCCTTCCCCTCCCCCATGGTCTTCTGGTAAGTTTCTCAGAATCCACATAAGAGTGAAAATATAAGGTGTCTGTCTTTCTCTGTATGACTTATTTCACCTAGCGTAACACTCTCCAGTTCCATCCACGTGGCTACAAAAGGCTAGATTTCATTATTTCTCATTGCCAAGTAGTATTCCATTGTATATATAAGCCATATCTTCTTTGTCCATTCATCAGTTGATGGACATTTAGGCTCTTTCCATAGTTTGGCTATTGTTGAGAGTGCTGCTATAAACATTGGGGTACAAGTGCCACTGTGCATCAGCACTCCTGTATCCCTTGGGTAAATTCCTAGCAGTGCTATTGCTGGGTCATAGGGTAGACCTATATTTTCTTTAAAAATTTTTTTTATGTTTATGTATTTTTGAGAGAGAGGAAGAGACAGAGCGTGAGCAGGGGAGTGGTAGAGAGAGAGAGAGGGAGACACAGAATCCCAAGCAGGCTCCAGGCTCTGAGCTGTCAGCACAGAGTCCAACGTGGGACTCAAACTCACAAACCGTGAGATCATTACCTGAGCTGAAGTCGGACACTCAGCCGACTGAGCCACCCAGATGCCCCAAGGGGTAGTTCTATTATTAATTTTTTGAGGAACCTCCACACTGTTTTCCAGAGCGGCTGCACCAGTTTGCGTTCCCGCCAACAGTGCAAGAGGGTTCCCGTTTCTCCACATCCTCTCCAGCATCTATAGTCTCCTGATTTGTTCATTTTGGCCACTCTGACTGGCGTGAGGTGATACCTGAGTGTGGTTTTGATTTGTATTTCCCTGATAAGGAGCGACGCTGAACATCTTTTCATGTGCCTGTTGGCCATCCGGATGTCTTCTTTAGAGAAGTGTCTATTCATGTTTTCTGCCCATTTCTTCACTGGCTTATTTGTTTTTCGGGTGTGGAGTTTGGTGAGCTCTTTATAGATTTTGGATACTAGCCCTTTGTCCGATATGTCATTTGCAAATATCTTTTCCCATTCCGTTGGTTGCCTTTTAGTTTTGTTGGTTGTTTCCTTTGCTGTGCAGAAGCTTTTTATCTTCATAAGGTCCCAGTAATTCATTTTTGCTTTTAATTCCCTTGCCTTTGGGGATGTGTCGAGTAAGAGATTGCTACGGCTGAGGTCAGAGAGGTCTTTTCCTGCTTTCTCCTCTAGGGTTTTGATGGTTTCCTGTCTCACATTAAGGTCTTTCATCCGTTTTGAGTTTATTTTTGTGAATGGTGTGAGAAAGTGGTCTAGTTTCAACCTTCTGCATGTTGCTGCCCAGTTCTCCCAGTACCATTTGTTAAAGAGGCTGTCTTTTTTCCATTGGATGTTCTTTCCTGCTTTGTCAAAGATGAGTTGGCCATACGTTTGTGGGTCTAGTTCTGGGGTTTCTATTCTATTCCATTGGTCTATGTGTCTGTTTTTGTGCCAATACCATGCTGTATTGATGATGACAGCTTTGTAGTAGAGGCTAAAGTCTGGGATTGCGATGCCTCCCGCTTTGGTCTTCTTCTTCAAAATTACTTTGGCTATTCGGGGCCTTTTGTGGTTCCATGTGAATTTTAGGATTGCTTGTTCTAGTTTCGAGAAGAATGCTGGTGCAATTTTGATTGGGATTGCATTGAATGTGTAGATTGCTTTGGGTAGTCTGGACATTTTAACAATATTTATTCTTCCAATCCATGAGCACGGAATGTTTTTCCATTTCCTTATATCTTCTTCAATTTCCTTCATAAGCTTCCTATAGTTTTCAGCATACAGATCTTTTACATCTTTGGTTAGATTTATCCCTAGGTATTTTATGCTTCTTGGTGCAATTGTAAATAGGATCAGTTTCTTTATTTGTCTTTCTGTTGCTTCATTATTAGTGTATAAGAATGCAACTGATTTCTGTACACTGATTTTGTATCCTGCGACTTTGCTGAATGCATGTATCAGTTCTAGCAGACTTTTGGTGGAGTCGATGGTATTTTGTGACTTACTTCCTTTTGCAGTGAGGCCTGTGAAAATGAGGTGATTTGGGAAAATTGTACAATGATTACAATTTTTTGATGTGGAAGTTTGCTCATGGTGAAAGATCTTCATGGCTCGATAGTGGATATTTTATTGTAAGGGAAACAGACTGTCTTACTTTTATTATTTTTATTATAAAGAGAACTTTTATTTTTTTATTATAAAGGGAACATACTGTCTTACTTTTTGTTTTTTTAAGTTTTTTGGATGTTTATTTATTTTTGAGAGAGAGAGAGAGAGAGAGAGAGAGAGAGAGAGTACAAGCAGGGGAGGGGCAGAGAGAGAGGGAGACACAGAATGTGAAGCAGGCTCCAGGCTCTGAGCTGCCAACACAGAGCCTGACACAAGTCTCGAACTCATGAACCATGAGATCATGACCTGAGCTGAAGTCGGATGCTTAACCGACTGAGCCACCCAGGCGCCCCACGACATTCCAGATTTTTTTATACTTTGCATGGTGCGTGCTGTGTGTTCTGAGCGGTGAACACACCTCAGTGAAGTCACCGCCTGTGTGCATGTGGGCACCACCGCCTTGGACGGATGCCATGTCCCCTATACGGTCCTACAGAACCAATGACTCATCCCCCAGCCTGTAAATGGGTGGGCCACCTGCAGGGTTTCCACTTACCAGATTGTCCCAAGATCCGCAGGGTGGGGAAGAGTGAAGTGTACCTGGGTGGGATCAGAGGTCACCGGATCAGTTGGTTACTGATGCACCGACCCGGTTTGCTATGTTCCCCGAAACACAAAGAGGTGAGGTCGGTGAGGGCCACTTAAAATAAGGACAAAATACACTGTGCAGATTATAAAAGGTATTTAGAGAAGCCTCATGCGTGAAGCCCAGACTGCAAGACACGGGTGATTATTGCCATTTTAAAACCTTCCTTCGTGCATTCACTCTTTCATCAGGCTTTTCATCAGGCCAGATGTACCCATCATGTGCTTGGACCCCAGGACAATCACCAGCAGAGCACCGCTCGTGTGTACCTACTGTCCTTGACTTGGACTTGGAAGACTTCCTCATTTTTAGAAGGATGAACTGGCCTCTGTTGGCAGAGCACTCAGTCCAAATGCATTTTTAGAAAGCAAGCCTGTTGCCTCTTGGATTAGTTCAATACAATACCTGGAACCAGACCCCGGTGAGGCTTTGTCTTACGCAATAGACATGTGAATCTAATGTAATTTTGAATATGTACGTGTATAATGTACACGTATAAGATTTATATGTGTTATCTTAACTAAAACACTTTAAAAGATGCATATTACATTGCCGTATTTCCTAGCCTGCTTAAGGCTGTCTCTGCCTCTCTCCCTGCTCATGCTCTCTCTCTCTAAAATAAAGTTTAAAAAAAGATTTGCTGTCATCCTGGGGCCACAGGCCATCATCATCAGGTGGAGCCAACCTGCAGCCAGGTGAGCCAGGTTTACACAGGACAGGTGCCTGCCGGTGACACCCCCCAAGAGATATTCCTCCGGAGCAGAGGGATTATACAGATGGGAACTCACACTCTATCTGGTAAGGAGACTTCTTTCCACTTCTTTACAGAAGTCTTCTTGCCTGGACATGATTTGGGGGCTAAGAACGTGAGACCAGGGAACAGGTTCTCCTTCAACCAGCAGAAGGAAATCAAGGAAAATGCGGGTTCTTTCATTTTGCTTCATTCATTCGTTCCAGATGTGGACCTACACCACCATTCTTCACGGCCCGTGGTTTGGCCCAAGAGAATCCATTGTACAGCGGGGCGTTCAAATAAGGCAGTGTTTGCTGCCCGGGCGGCGGGGCGGGCCCCCCCCCCGGGTAGGGCTGGCACATGCAAATGATTTGATAAATAGCATGCAAACTTTCTACGAGAGAGAAATGAATAGCATTTGTGAGCCAATAACTAGACACCTGGTAGAAAGAAGGTCATTCTTTTGTGTCTGAAAGTTGCTTTCAAAGCTCTGCATGGCTGATCCAAACTTTAAAAAGGCACCTGGGGGGGGGCGCCTGGGTGGCGCAGTCGGTTAAGCGTCCGACTTCAGCCAGGTCACAATCTCGCGGTCCGTGAGTTCGAGCCCCGCGTCGGGCTCTGGGCTGATGGCTCAGAGCCTGGAGCCTGTTTCCGATTCTGTGTCTCCCTCTCTCTCTGCCCCTCGCCCATTCATGCTCTGTCTCTCTCTGACCCAAAAATAAATAAACGTTGAAAAAAAAATTAAAAATAAATAAATAAATAAAAAGGCACCTGGGTGGCTCAATTGGTTAAGTGTCCAACTTCAGTCAGGTCATGATCTCCTGGTTTGTGGGTTCAAGCCCCCCGTCGAGCTCTACACTGACAGCTCGGAGCCTGGAGCCTGCTTCACATTCTGTGTCTCCCTCTCTCTCTGCCCCCTCTCCCCAAAATAAACAAATAAATTAATTAAAATAATAAATTAATTTTAAAAATTAAAAAATAAATCAATTAAGAAATTAAAATTATAAAAATAATTAATTAAAAAGACCAACAGAAAGGAATATTTCAAGCTCCATGAAGTTTCCACTATTTTTCTTGTCTTCTGGACTCTTTTGTGTGGTTTCAAGGTCACTGGACGTGATATCCAAACTTCAGCACTGTCCACGTGGCACTTGGCAGGTCACTGCCCCTGTCTGGCCTGGGTTTCCTTATCTGCACAATGAACAGGGTAGACAATGGACCTTTGGGATTTGCCCCAACATTGACATTCTGTTTGTGTCTTCACTAAGATGTGTCCTGACATTTTTTATTTTTTTTTAATGTTTACTTATATATTTTTTGAGAGAGAGAGAGATACAGAGTATGACTGGGGGAGGGGAACAGAGAGAGGGAGACACAGAATCCTAAGCAGGCTCCAGGCTCCGAGCCATCAGCACACAGCCCGACGCAGGGCTCAAACTCACGAACCGTGAGATCATGACGTGAGCCCAGGTCAGACACTCAACCAACTGCATACATGTACCCATGCACATGTAGACACACACACACACACACAGACACACACACACACACACACAGGGATGGAAATCCCATGAGGACTTTGATTATGCTGCGGTATTCTTTACCACATTTCCAGTGGCCAGAACAGAGCTTGGCACATATGATGTGCTCATGAAGTAGTTAATGAGTGAATGTGTTATGGGATGAATTGTGTCTCCCCCAAAGATATTTTGAAGTTCCGACCCCCGGAACTGGTGACTGTGACCTTCTTTGGAAATAGGGTGTTTGTAGAGATAATGAGTTGACATAGTCCTTCTGGATTAGGATGGGTCCTAATCCAACAACTGGTGTACTTATAAAAAGGGGGAAATTTGGCGATGACTGGGTGGCTCAGTCCGTTAAGTGTCCTACTCTTGAGTTAACCTCAGGTCATGATCTCATGGTTCATGAGTTCAAGTCCCACGTTGGGTTCTGCGATGACAGTGTGGAACCTGCTTGGGATTTTCTCTCTCTCTCTCTCTCTCTCTCTCTCTCTCTCTCTATTTCTCTCTCTCTCTCTCCCTCAAAATAAACAAACTTAAAACTTTTTTGAAAAAGAGGGAAATTCAGACACAAGGAAAGATGTCCATGTTACAGCAGAGACATGGGAGTGATGTGTTGACAAACCAAGGCATGTCAAGGGTTGTGGGCAACACCAGAAGCTGTGACGAGAGGGAGGAACAGATTCTCCCCTTGGGCCCCAAGACACAACCAGCCCAGCAGGCACATTCATCTTGTCTTCTGGCCTCCAGAACTATAAGGAAACACCGGGAGATTGTGACCTGAGCCAAAGTCAGATGCTCAACCCACTGAGCCACCCAGGTGCCTGCAGTCTTGATTTTAAAAGAATAAAACAAAATCATTGGTTCTTCCATATTTGGGACAAACTCAGACTTTGGAAGAGACATGTATGAGAATTTAAAAAAAAAAAATCAATAAGTAGCTTGAAAAGTCTTGTCATTCAACCCATAAGAAGCAGGAAACTTACCAAGAGAGAAAATACAAGTTCTGTCCCTGGATTTCATGAGCCAGGAATTCACTCTCCTGTTTCATATCTTATTTGACTTATCCCTGTGTTAATTATTGGAGCTTGGTCTCTAGGGCATGTGTGCAGAGGGCTCCATGTTTCTAATTGAACAAATAAATTATTCATCTTAGCTTATTTCCTGTTCTGAGTGTTTCTGTGGAGGTAGATGAAAGCTACTTTATATAACAGATCTGGCTGCCAAATCAGTAGTCTTTACATGTCCCTGCCTTCCCGCTGAAACCGCAAGTCCAGACTCGATGTTCACTTTTGTTTTGCACATTTAAATTCTTCTATTTTGAAAGGATATATCTATCTATCTATCTATCTATCTATCTATCTATCTATATCTATCTATATATCTATAAATAGATATAGATAGATATAGATAAATATACACACACACATATATATATGTGTGTGTATACATATATATATATATATGCAAATAGGTAGATAGATATGATGGATAGATAAACAGATAGATACAGATAGACAGATAAACATGATGTATGGTTGGATGGATGGATGGATGGATGGAATCAAAGATAGATAGATAGATAGATAGATAGATAGATAGATAGATATGATGGATGGACAGACAGATAAGATAGATATGGTGTATGGGTGGATGGACGGAATCATAGATAGATAAATAGATAGATAGATAGATAGATAGATATGATGGATGGACAGATAAAATAGATATGATGTATGCGTGGTTGGATGGATGGATGGATGGATGGATGGACAGACAGATAAGATATATGATGTATGGGTGGATAGATGGATGGAATCATAGATAGATAGATAGAATGATAGATAGACAGACAGACTTGGCCCATCAAGTTCCCGATGGATTTTTAGGCATGCACAGGCCCCCACCCATATGTTAAGGAGACAAGGAGTCATCTTCTCTTGAGAATAAACCATGAAACTTTATCATCCAATGTGGCATGACACCAGACAAAAATTTTTTAAAAGGTTCTGTTGCTCACAGGGAAGCTGCAAAAATATTTTGACATCCTGAAAGCTGGTTCCTGTTAGCAGATCTCTTCCTGTTAAAGTAAATAAAAGAAGGGGGGAAAAAAGAAAAGTAAGAAAAGCAAGTCTGTCTTAAAACCTACCCTTGATTTAGAAAGAGACCATCTTCTGGAAGCATTGTTCATCTCCCGACCATCAGATGATATTGCTGATTCATCACGTCAGATCCTTTTCTCTTATTTTTACGAAAGGACATCATTGAGCCAGTGCCTTTTGGGGCCATCTCTTGAGTTCCGTGTGTTTTGCCCCACGTGTGCATCCAGAAAACTGCACCATGGGTGCAGATGAGCCAAAGGCTTTGGGTGTGAGGGAGCAGGACGACCGGGTGCTGAGGGAGCTCAGACATCAGGACTCACCTGGACCAGGAGCAGGTGCAAGGAACAGGTGTATCTGCTCTGTGTTTGGTTGAAGCCACCGAGGAAAGAAGCAAAGACACATCCATGATAGAGTCCCTGGAAGAAGGACTCAGGCTCAGGGGTCCGTGCTGACCCACCAGGAGTAGAGACTGGAATGTCACCCAGACCACAACCACTGGCCCAAGGATTGGGGTTGCATCTTCTGGACGCTCTAGGTGCTTCTCCCAAGGGACCACCATCTTTTGGCCTCCATGGCACCAATAGCAATAGTGTGGCCTCCAGGTGAAGGTGAGACACCCAGGTGTTTAAGACATGGCAGCATGAAGGGGAGAAGAAAATCCAGAGACAGGAAGCTGAGGTTCATGAGAAGCATGAGCGCCTAAGGTTTACCCATTCTCCGATGCGTAAAGACCATTATGGCATTGAAAACCCAGGTAATGTGACCCAGGGTCATCTCCCAGTGCACACCCCATTCATGGCTCACACAGACTGGATTTGCCCTCCCGTCTACATGAGCCCCCACCGGGAACCCGCTCTCATCCTCCACAGGTGCTGAGCGAGACCTTCCGGGCCCCACCAAGAGGTGGTCTCTTCTGTTTGCCACGGTGCTGAATCTGCTCCTCCCAGGGGACTGGCTGGTCCCTCCTCCCCATTCCTGTGATGTTCCATCTAACGTTTCTTGAGGTGCTTGTCTACTGCCCGTGTGTGCGCCCATATACCTGTACCTAGATACCCTTACCTGTCCCCCTGCACCTGTACTATACCCGTATCTACATATCTGTTCCTGTACTGACAGGTGTGTGTCTGTGCCTACACTTTTACCTATAGCCATTTCTATATACCTACATGCACACGCCTTTACCTATGTGTATACCTGCGCTTCTGTGTATACACCTATATGTATACATTTACCCATATGCATTTCTATACATCTCTGTCTCTACCCCTCCATCAACACCAGACCTGTATCTATAGCTGTATACTTATATCTGTCCCTATACCTGTTTCTATAGAGCTTTATCTATGTGTACTTTGACTTCTATGCCTACACCTATCCTATATATTTATAGCTCTGTAATTATGTTTATTCTAGACCTATATCTATACCTATGCTTGTATCTCTATACTGATGCTATACCTGTATCACAAGTGTGTTTATAGTTGCACGTGCACCTCTATACCTATACCTCTACAATGCACACCTACACCTGCCTGCATCTCTCTGTCTCTATCTCTATCCCTTTACTCCACCTCCATAGGCATATATGTGTATGTCTGAGTCTCTACTTCTATCTCTGTCTCTCTATATAGCGCTATCTCTCTGTATTGTGCACCTCAAACGCTGTTTGCACTACAGATGCATAAGCACAGTGCCTAGATCGGCCCATGCATGGAGTAGGATGTCAGAAACTGTGAGGTGTTAGACATGGAAATGTCTTCATATGTTTTCCAAAAGAAGGAAGGAAGGAGGAATGCAGTGATGAGGAGATAAGCAGCCAGAGATGAACAAGGCTCCTGTTCATTGATGACAGAGGGACCTCATGAGGAGTCCGGATCCCAGGATAGATGTGTCATCCATGTTTTAATGGAGTCATGGCACGCATCCCATTACTGATACTCTCGTTGTCTTGTCCCACCAGACTGTGGGCTCCTTAGGAGAGAAGATGGCTGATCTTTGTTTGTCTTCTCGGGATCGGTCATGGTGCTGGGTAGGCATTCAATACACCTGTGCTGAGCTGAATAAATGTAGACGTTATTCCAGTCCTAAAGTGAAGAGTAAAGTCAAAGAGGCTGGCAAATCCTAATGTGTATTTGTGCAGTTGTTTGATTACGGCTTACCATGCCAAGTAGAGTCAGGCTCCAAGGAGGTGGGAAACTCGTCTCTCTTGTGTCCTTGTTTTATCCCAATACCTAGTACTGTGCCTGGCATGCATGCCCAAGAGGCTCCGAAAACAGAAGCAAAGGATCCAGAGAGTGGATTTCATTTCATTTCAGCTCCGTTGGGTGAGGAAACAGAAGAGGGAGTCCCCCTCCTTCAAGGAAACATCTCTGAAGATCCAATGACATGTGTCCCAGAGGAAGCATGTGGGTAATCCTGTCCTAATTTTTGTAAGGAAATGTTGAGTGTCTCCAACCAATGGAAGAATTCGGGAGTGGATGAGAAATGGAGGCCCCCCAAATAGAAGCCCATTGTCCAAAATCAAGGGCTTTGGACTTTTGGACTATGTGCCTGGAGAGCTCCCTCCACCATTTGTTACAGAACTCAAGCGGAGCGTTGACGTGGCTGACATTGAATTTCTCGTGTCCTGTGCCTTCCATGTGCTCCCAGCTCAAAAGGATGAGGTCAAAGGTTTACCTTTCTAGCTGGCAAATGGTTTTCGCAGTTCCACCGGGAGGCTGTTGGCAGGGGGAAGAGGCCATCACTTCTCTGCAATGGTCCTTTGTGTACGTATTTGATCAGCGCTAACTTTCTTGGGTTTTACCCCAATGAGTCTTGGTCCCTTGCCTGGTACTGCAGATTTTAATACTAACACTATAGCTACCGTGACAATTGAAATGAGACCCTGTGAGCAGACAGCCTGGCATGTGGAAGAGCATGTCTGCTTTCCTGCCGTTGAAACGTTTTTATTTTACTCCCCACCGAGCTTTGGATCCACAGTCTTTCCCTCTTTGGTAATACTGAATTTCAAGTGACTTCTCTCTCAACCAAGGGAGACATTCCCAGTTGGTGTGCTTGTCACTGAACTTATTCGAGGGAACAATTTGGAGACCTTGGATGGAAACCCCAGATGTGCCTGACCTGCCCGCCATTTACGGAGTTTTATGTATTCACTGGGGTCTTTGCTGTGCCTGAGACTAAGTGGCGATGTCCGTCGGAAGTGGTCTGTTTTCTAAGATGTTCACTGAGGTTGACTTGTTAACATTTTCCGTGTGCACTCACTTAAGAGGCTGTTGTGTGGTGTGCTTCCTATCCCAAATTTAGTCTTCTCCCAACTGGATATTTAAAGTAAAAGAACGAAATCTTGCCATTGGCAACAACGCAGATGAAACTAGAGATTATTGTGCTAAGCAAAGTAAGTCAGTCAGAGGAAGACAGATGTCATGTGATTTCATTCATATGTGGAACTTAAGAAATACAACAGATGAATGTAGGGGAAGGGAAGGAAAAATAAGATAAAAACAGGGAGGCAAACCATAAGAGACTCTTAAATACAGAGAGCAAACTGAGGGTTGATGGGGTGGGGGGATGGGCTAAATGGGTGATGGGTATTACGGAGGGCACTTTTCAGGATGAGCACTGGGTGTCATACGTAAGGGATGAATCACTGGGTTCTATTCCTCAAGCCAAGACTACACTGTATGTTAACTTGAATTTAAATAAATTTAAGAAAATTAAGTAGCCTTGATTACAGTTCACATCCATGGTATTCCACATTGTTCACATTTGGTTTCTACGTCATCAATGGAAGATTGAACTGCCCGGGGGTGAGGGGGGGATTGTTTTGCAAGGCTAGAATCAGAAACCAGTGTGCAGTTTTATGCCTACTCGTAGATTAACCATGTATCCGGCTCGGAAAAGCTGAACGTACAAAACCCCATTGAAATTCCAATATGGCGGCTCAATATTTCCTGCTAGTTCTGACATGGTTCCCCATACATCGAGAGCATCCCTTGGTCATGCCCAGTGCCTGGAGAAAATAGAGCCTTTGTGGGACTTACAGGACGTAGGAAAGAGATTTCAAATGACCTGACTTAGTAGGCTCTTTAAAAAAAAAAAAAAAAAAAGGAAAGAAAAAAGCAACGAGAATGAAGCATTATTTGAAAAGCTAATTATAACTCACTTATTACACTGACTAAATCAGGTGCCCGTTGGTCTGGTATTGATACTCTAGTATTATAACCTTTTGAGCGCCAATGACAATTCAGCTTTTGAAGCCCTCGTGATACAAAGCTTGGCATAGAATAAGTTCCAACAGTGGGAGATTCGTGGATGTGATTTGTGCGTGTCTCGTCCTTCAAACACTTTCTCTTGCCGTAAGCTGTGTTTTTGTCATATCTAATTTGCCTGGCTGTTCAGGAATTTTCGTTCCATTAGGATTTATCCCTTTGAAGCCCCACTGCTCTCGCAGTGAATCCTTCAACGGCGTCAACATCCCGCTGAGTCTGCCGCCGGTTGGGGTGGGATTGTTTGGACACAATTCCTGAGCCGCGTTCCGCCTTTGTGTCGCCTTGTAAGCCGACCCCTGACTGTGTCTTAGATCCAGTCTTCGACTCCCATTCTGGTTTTGCACCATGATTGTGTGCTTTCTGTTTGGGACTGTGACACCTTCCACTTGAAGTAAAGCTTGTGTCTTGTTTTAACGAGCAGAGACTGTGGTCCATGTAGACGTGGGAGCTCAGCTTGGCCTCTGCGTCAACATTTGGCTGGAATTGACGCTAGAGGCGGCTGTGTGGTTTTCTACTTTATTTTTACATGTATGGCATTGCCTTCTTTTTGTGCCTCTGCCCCCGTAGAGATGTAAGCGAAGGAAATGGTTCCAAGTTCAGCGGGCGTGGTGCCATCTTGGTTTGATTTCCACGCCCTTCCCGCTACGGTGGGACGATGCTGCCTGGCTCGGTGGTGACCATGGGCAAAGTCAACAACCAGGGAAGTTGAACAATGACCGTTATTGATTGGACCTTGCCACACAGCGGCTAGAAATGGCTGGAAATTCGAGCAGGATGTCCCGGTATTTGCCATCAGCAACAGCAGCTGTCGGTTGGGGTCATCTCCCTAAAACTGATAGTTGTGGGAGCCTCATATTGGGGCCGTGGACAGATTTCTGTGCAGGATCGGGAGTGGAGCATCTACGTGGTGGCAGGCAGGCTCCAGAAGGGCCCCCCGTGATCCCCACCCCGTAATATTCACAGCCTTGTGTCATCCGGTCCCCGTGACTACGGGAGGGACACTGTGCCTGTTCTAAGCAACACAATCTGTGACATCTGTGACTTCGCTGCTCAGCAGGAGATCACTAATGCACACGCAGAGACTCTGGGACTAGAAATACAGGTTTCTGCAAAAAAGACAAGTGTCGTGTTTGGGGCGTGGGGTTTCGGTGCCTCCTACTAGGTTGTGTGGCTCTGGAGATGTCCACAGCGTGCTCTCCACTGGGTGACATCTTCCCAAGCGAAGAAAGCTTTCCACTTGACTGGCTGACCCACCCCACTGGCTTCTCCCAAGACTTTGCAGGGACTGTCCCAGACCCCTGAGCGGGGGGACAGGCACTCAGACCCCACACACACTCATGTCCTGTGTGTTGGTCTTTAAAAAAAAAAAAAAAAAAAAACGGGTCTTGTACACTCAAGCCTCCTTCTGGATTTTGGCTCTCTGTTCACCAACAGACACCCCCAGGGGATGTGGGTGTCGGGCGGATGTCCTGCCATAGCCTGTGATAATGCAGAATTATGCCCAAGACAGTGAGCCTGTGACAGACCCTGTCACCTCCGCGCCCAGGAAGACACATGTTTCTGTTGAGCAGGAAAATTGAATTTGGCATCTCATTAACACTCATGGGTGTTTTTTTTTGCGTTTTTTTTTTTTTGTTTTTTGTTTTTTGGTGGTTGTTCGTTTAAAAATTGTGCAGGAAGGTGGGATATTTTGCAAGTGGAAAAATACCGTGGGCACACACACACCAGTGTCTGCTCACACACACGTGGTGGGTCAACCATAGGTGCGAAGGGATTCAGCCAAGTGTGAGGTTCAGCGAACCCGAGTCCAGACAGAGGGCTCCACACGCAAGGTCAGGAGCCGGCAAACTGTTGTCTACACTGCCTGCAGCAAAATGAGGCCTGGAGGTGGACAGCCATCAGGGTTGCCTGGGGTCCAGCCGCAAACAAGTGTGCTCTCGCAGAGCAGACGGTGCTCATTCCTGGATTCTTTTTTTTTTTTTTTAATTTTTTTTTCAACATTTATTTATTTTTGGGACAGAGAGAGACAGAGCATGAACGGGGGAGGGGCAGAGAGAGAGGAAGACATAGAATCGGAAACAGGCTCCAGGCTCTGAGCCATCAGCCCAGAGCCTGACGCGGGGCTCGAACTCATGGACCGCGAGATCGTGACCTGGCTGAAGTCGGACGCTTAACCGACTGCACCACCCAGGCGCCCCCACAAAATTGATTTTTATTTTATTTTATTTTTTAATTTATTTTTGGGACAGGGAGAGACAGAGCATGAACGGGGGAGGGGCAGAGAGAGAGGGAGACACAGAATCGGAAACAGGCTCCAGGCTCTGAGCCATCAGCCCAGAGCCCGACGCGGGGCTCGAACTCACGCGAGATCACGGGAGATCACGCGAGATCATGACCTGGCCGAAGTCGGACGCTTAACCGACTGCACCACCCAGGCGCCCCTCATTCCTTGATTCTTGAAGCCACCTTGCAACCCCAGCAATCCCACAGCCCTCATCCCTGCAAGGTAAGGACCCGTTCTCGTGGATGTGACCCTGTCCCACCGAACCGTGGTCAGCATCCCCGCCCTGCTCACCTCCCGCCCGAAACTCACCACCCGGAAGCATTTTTCTCCCAAATACCGGTAACCTCCCAGCTCCTGTTGTGTGGCTGAGTTGCGCGTCTTAGCTCGACTGGGCCACGGGTGCCCAGACATTTTGATAAACGTGATTCTGGGTGCTGTGGCTTGGAGGGTGTTTCTGGATGAGAGGAGCATTGGGATGGGGGGCGGGCAGGGAGGTCAGTAAAGCAGACGGCTTTGCCTGTGTGGGTGGGCCTCATCTAATCAGGTGACGGTCTGCACAGAAAAAAAAAAAAAAGGAAAAGTAGGAAGAAGGGAAAATTCTTTCTTCATGATTGTTTGAGCTGGGATATCATCCATCTATCTATCCACCCACCTATCCATCCATCCACCCATCCACCATATGTATCTATCTGTCATCTATCTATCCATCTGCCCATCATTTATCCATCCATCCATCTCTCCTTCTAAATGGTTTTGTTTCCCTGCAGACCCTGACTAGCACACCTTTGCAATCCCCAATCTTCTGCTTCCCTGAACCTTTCCTGTTCCTTGTGCATCTCACATAACGGTTCAGAAACAACATCTGTTAAATATAACTATTTCACTGCCATACCCCCTCATCTGGAGCCTGAAACTGCCTTCGGCATCCCAGCACCAATACCCACCACGTCCCTCGACTCGCCACCTCATTTCTGTGACCCCCAGTCCCCCAGCACGGCACACGAAACCCACGTTACTCTGTCAGCACGCCCTCTGTAAGCTGGTGGGTCCTCCCTCTGGCATAGGACGTGAGTCCCTTCGGCTGTGTTTCCCAGGCTGACTGAGGGTTCTTGGACATGCAGAATGCTGGATCCCAAATCATTATTCACTCGTCCAGACCAACAAAGCAAAGGAAAAGCAAACACGTTTCCAATTATTTCAGGAAATGCTGCTGCCCCATTGTGGGTCTCTGCAAATTTTCCTTAAAAAATACCAGAGAGTATAAATAAACATTTTAAAAAAATGGGGGCACCCGGATGGCTCAGTCAGTTAAGCATCCGACTTCGGCTGAGGTCATGATCTCACAGTTCGTGGGTTCAGGCCCCGCGTGGGGCTCTGTGCTCACAGCTCAGAGCCTGGTGCCTGCTTCGGATTCTGTGTCTCCCTCTCTCACTGCCCCTCCCCTGCTTGTGCTTTGTCTCTCTCTCTCTCTCCAAACGAAATAAACATTAAAAAAAAAAAAACTAAATAAACATTAAATCTTCCAGAATTTGTAGGCTAACAAAGACACTTCAAGGATGTGTCATGGGTTGTGGGTTCCATTCATGGTGCCACAGTTTAAAAAGGTGGAAACAGTTCCCTACTTTCCGGGGCTGGGGGTGCAGGGGGCTGTGAACCCCTTGTTGAAATGTGCACTCCCGCGGGAATACTTGGAGATGAATCCCTACGGATGCTGATGTCTTTTACGCTGTGTTTGCTCAGCACTGAGGACATTGCCTGTGCTGCACCGACTGTGTGTTTTTGTGGGTTTTTTTTTTCTTTTTTTGGTTTGTTTTTTCCATTTCTAGTTACCTTGAACGCACAGTCGTGCTAAGCCTGTTCATGCCTTTCCAGGCTTCCTGTTCCAGGCACCTGCCGGAAACCCCGAGGTCGCCCCGTTCAGTTAGTCAGG